TTAACTACTGGCAGAACTATCATCGCCAGCATCATCAGCGTTAAGGCTGTCACCATCATCACCATCATCACCACCACCACCATCATTATCATCATCATCCTTATTGTTGTTATTGATATCATTATCATCATCGTTCTTGTTGTTTTCAATAATTTTAATGTTGTCGCCATCCTCTTCAGACGTGGTGGCCACTGTTGTTGTTGTTGTTGATGACGTTGCTGCTGATGATGTTGTTGTTGTTGCGAAATTTTCATCAACAAATTTTTTTACCTCTCCAACGATTTCCTCTGTTACATTGTGTCGAACACCAACTCCAACGACGTTGTCAACATTTTGCTGCGCTGAATCATCTCTCTCGACATCTAGGAATCCATGCTGTTGATGTTGCGGTATTTGTGGTAGTGACGATGACGCTGTCGTTGCTACTACACCTTCCATGTCTATCTTATCAGGTTCAACAGCATCAGCTATCGGAGACATTTTGTCTTCATAATCTTCCGTTGATTGTGGCTCAGCAGAGGAAAGCATTCCGATTTTTGCAGTAACTTCATCGACCACCACATTTGTGGGCGTTGTGACGTCATTCTCCTTCTCGACAGACGCCTTCATACTCATTTCAGGATTTTCTGACTTCACTCCAACCATCCCTAAACTTTCAGATGCAGCTTCCACAACATTATCAGAAGTTGCGGCGACATGATCCTGGCTGGTTGCAGCAACAAAAGTTGTAGTAGCTGTAGTTGAAGCAACAGCAGAAGTGGCCGTAGTAGTAGTAGTAGTAGTAGTAGTGGCAACTGTAGACGCAACTTTCCCAGCTTTCAATTTGCTACCGAGCATCTGCCTGAGAAGAGGTGACTTGAAAGTATGCGAGAGAGCAGTTTCACTGCTGCTGTCGTTGTTGTCGTCACCACTGTCGCCGAGTTTCACGCCGCCGGCTACGAAAAAAGCGTTGCTAGCAGCTGCTGTTGTGGCTGCGGATGCCGTAGCAGTTGTGGCTGATGATGATTTTGAGTCGGTGTTGCTTTCACCAGCGACAGAAAGTTAGAAT